AGAATGTGTCGCATTCCATTCCAGAATTCTTAAAAATAGCATTCTGATATATTTCAATCACTTTCCTTTTTTTATTCACATCTTTTTGTTTCAGAGTTGCACTCCGGCGTAACATATCAGAGAAGAACAATGTTTGACTTCTCTCACAGATAATAAGAAACGTACCAATAAAGAGGTGATCCAAGAAAAAACAGAACGAAGAGTACCGACCTGGACCATGTCGTATCGATCGCAACCGATTCGAATCAGGAGTTTTGAACTCGATATTCGATGATAGTTAAGTACATCATTTTCCCAATCATTAAAGTCACCTATCTTGAGTTATGGAAGGCGATATATTATCATTCAAAATTTCACGATGGTCATCTTTATGTCTTAGTGGAGATACGACAGGTACCCTTACGAGGGGAGAGTATCGACTCGGCGTCTGTAAATCCTCTCTGCAACGGAGGTTGGCGCCTGCTGGGTTAGGTATATACAGTGTCTTTCATAAAGAGAAAATTGTTGCCTATCAGGAACTACAAGAATGTGTCGCATTCCATTCCAGAATTCTAAAAAATAGCATTCGGATATATTTCAATCACTTTCCTTCTTTTAATCACATCTTTTTGTTTCAGAGTTGCACTCCGGCGTAACATATCAGAGAAGAACAATGTTTGACTTCTCTCACAGATAATAATAAGAAACGTACCAATAAAGAGATGATCCAAGAAAAAACAGAACGAAGAGTACCGACCTGGACCATGTCGTATCGATCGCAACCGATTCGAATCAGGAGTTTTGAACTCGATATTCGATGATAGTTAAGTACATCATTTTCCCAATCATTAAAGTCACCTATCTTGAGTTATGGAAGGCGATATATTATCATTCAAAATTTCACGATGGTCATCTTTATGTCTCAGTGGAGATACGACAGGTACCCTTACGAGGGGAGAGTATCGACTCGGCGTCTGTAAATCCTCTCTGCAACGGAGGTTGGCGCCTGCTGGGTTAGGTATATACAGTGTCTTTCATAAAGAGAAAATGGTTGCCTATCATGAACTACAAGAATGTGTCGCATTCCATTCCAGAATTCTTAAAAATAGCATTCGGATATATTTCAATCAATTTCCTTCTTTTAATCACATCTTTTTGTTTCAGAGTTGCACTCCGGCGTAAAATATCAGAGAAGAACAATGTTCCAATTGAGATTGTTCATTAGAATTACTTTACAAACTTTTATTATGTATTAACCTTTGTATGTTTGTTCTTGTGTAATTTGGTGATGTTTTATTATTTTCAAAATTTCATTTTATTACTCTCAAAATTTTATTAAGAGACACAAATGACCTGCTATGAATATGCATATGTATATGATGATATAGTCAAATATCAACTATCTATCTATCTATCAAGATTAGCTGAAAATTATTCAAAAAGTTATATTTTTTATTTTTGTTATCTGACATGAAGCTCATAGGAAAAATTTTGTTCTCAAAACACACTCCGCTTCGCCTTATTCGCCTAACTATAGTGAGGAAAAGTAACACTTTGCACACTTGTTAGGAAATCAACTAGGTATCTTCGTAATTGGAAAGCAGAAACCCAAAAGTCGTCATTCTACTGTTTGAAATGTACCTTTGGCAACGATGCACTGCGTAGCGGAATGCCCAGAGGCAAAAACAAAATCTTTTATCTTGGACCATTCTCAGAAGAAATTCCTTAATGTACTCTCGAAATAGAGAATAGATCCCTATATTGCTATAAAATGTAGAATGAAATAATAAGTAGAGGTGGGTTATTTACCTGCTCTCTGCTGGTAATTATAATCTCAATGCAGGTGAATGGCGAAGAGGTTATATAGTGATCTTACATGGCCTTAATATACCTACCTATCTGTATCCTCTTACTTTCAAATAAGATCTGAAAAAAAAACTTGACTTTCTACCCTTCGTATCCCCGTTACTGATCCATATTGGACTCGTGATTTCAATTTTAGTGAGTACATTTTATTGCATTTTCAACGAATTTTGTCAAAGAATGAAATTAGGCAATATTAACATGTTTTAGAAGGTATATGCTTTTTTATCTCAAAAACGGTTCGTTTCTCGAAAAAAATTGAAGAGCAAATAAAGCCTCTAAATTGAACGATCTTCATAATTTGATCACTGAAATATGCCAGTGGCGTACTACGAAAAAGTTTGGAGGGGATAAAGAAGCCTCTACTTCCAAAAACGTATCACCCTGTAGATTTTGAAAATCTTTAAAATGCTTGAAATGATGATCTTCTAGGAAGTATTGACTATACCAAATTTCAAAATGATATCTTGAAAAGTAAGCGAGATATTTCAATTAATAGAAAAAAATAAATAAACTTTGACCCCCTGTAGCTCCGCTACCGAACGAGATCGGACTCATGTTTATATGAACTTTCTTGATTAAAATGATGAGATCTATCTCCCATTTCAGTTTGTGCCTTAAAACCTGAATCACCCTGTATATATGTTTCGCTAGGAAATAATTAAGTATTTTCAATTAGAGATGTTCCAGGAGAGGTATGGAGCAATTATAGAGATTTTCCCAAATATATTCAATGACGTGTCCTACTTATTTCTGGGAAAAGGATATGGGCGCTTAAGCATTAGTGTAACTATTTTTAACTTTGTACACTTCCTTATATCAGAAACGAGACCACCCTGTACAGTTGAAGAGTATAGGAATTTATTAGGTATGTAAACTATACACAATTACTTGAAAGTAGGTAGCTATACTTAAAATTGAAAATTATCTTTTCCAAAGAACTAAAATAATTCGGTGAACTTATCAAGAATGATATATAAGGATCCACCAATATTTTTCCCTATCATTGCTCACAGTCCCTCCATGCATGGGATCATATATAGAGGTTACTGAGCACTACTGAAGAAAATAAACCTGTATATTTTTCTTGGTTTATTTCACTAGGAAAGTATCTCTCCCGTCATTACACCATTTACACCTTTTTCCAACCGTTACAACTTCTCTCTCAACTTTCTGTAGATTTCGCCATCTTCGGGTCAAGATTATATTTTTTAAATAGTTTTCGAAATATATTACAGGAATTCATCATAGAAACATTTTTAGTTCGAGCTTACTTATTTAGTTACAGTTTCCTCTTTCACTCTGAGGCACTTTCAGGTAAAATATAGTAGATGGCACTATCAGTATATGAACAAATTTAATATCTTGTCAGTTACAAGTATTTTGTATATCTCTAATTGAAAGTATCTATGTTTTCAATTCCATATTTCAAATAGTATACATATTATAAGTATGTCTTCATAATTTTGTATGCAGGGTCCCGCCAATTTATAAGGACCGTTTTTGCTATTTCTTGATCAAATTAGACGAAAGTTGCATAATTTAATCTTCCTCATCAATATGGAGTTTTAAAACTTGGAAAAACTACAGCCGTTCCTGAGATATTTTGAAAAAACTGAAAACCACTGATTTTGTTTCTATTTATTTTCTTGGTTAATATTCGAGAGAAAAATTTGAAATTTTGCCTAAGCAGGCAATTAATTATGGCAATTGGAATTGTCAGAAATATTCTTCATTTTCATTAGTTTCGGATAAGTTTCAGAGTATTGATACTGTAGTCATGACGACTGATATTTTGTGTTCTTATTATCATTGCCTGGAATTTGTAGCTCAATTCAATTGCCCAGTCGCCATCTTGAAATTTTCATCTGTCAATCCTACTTCAAAATATAGTATTCATGCATCAATTTCATCAGTATTCAATGTTTCAATTTTTTCAGTTGACCCGTTCAAAAAAAAAGGGGGGACGGGACATTGAAGAAAACCTACGAAGCCCTGGAAGGGACACCTAAAATAAAAAAAATATATAAAACTCTTCAACATTCTGAGTTATTACTCGGAATTTTAAAATTTCGGAATCTCAAAATTCCGACATATCTCGGAATCTCAAAATTCCGACATATCTCGGAATCTCAAAATTCCGACATATCTCGGAATCTCAAAATTCCGACTAATATCTCGGAATTTTAAAATTCCGAGTTATAACACGCAATTTTTAAATTCCGAAACATAGGTAATTAAGTCAGAATTTTAAAATCTCGACTTATATTTCGGAATTTTACATCAAAATTCCGACTTTTATCTCGGAATTTTAAAATTCCATGTTATAACTCGAAATTTCAAAATTTCGTGTTATAACTCGGAATTTTACATCCAATATATCTCGAGTTATAACTCAGTATTTTAAAATTCCGACTCATATCTCGGAATTTCAAACTTCCGAGTTATAACATGGAATTTAAAAATTCCGAGAAACAAGTCGGATTTTGATGTAAAATTCCGAGATATAACACGCAATTTTAAATTCCGAGATATAAGTCGGAATTTTACATCCAGACTCCCGAGTTACGACCCGGAATTTAAAATTCCGACTCATATCTCGGAAGTTTAGAATTCCGAGTTATAACATGCAATTTTAAAATTCCGAGATATATCGGAATTTTACATCCAGAATCCCGAGTTACGACCCGGAATTCAAAAATTCCGACTTATATCTCGGAAGTTTAAAATTCTGAGATATAACACGCAATTTTAAATTCCGAGATATGTCGGAATTTTACATCCAGACTCCCGAGTTACGAACCGGAATTTAAAAATTCCGATTTATATCTCGGAAGTTTAAAATTCCGAGTTATAAAATGCAAGAGATATAATAAGTCAGAATTTTGATGTAACATTCCGAGTTATAACTCTTAATTTTAAAATTTCGAGTTATACTCAGAATTTTGAGGGCTCATTTCGTTATCAAATGACGATCGACATTTGCATCCGGCTCTTGTGCTAGTCCCGGAACGACACGTCAACTTTTTGCCGCCGTCGCTCTCCTGCTCCCGCCAAACCAGCCGGCATCATCGCTCTTTCGCAGCGTCGCGACGCCTGATGCGCACACGCGCCCTGCTCCCTCCTGTCCCGGCGTGGGACGTTTTCACGGCGCCTTCAGTAAGTGACATGATATCAAGCGATCGACCTCGTGACCAAAGCCATCCTCTAGGAGAGACATGTATAGCGATGAATTCACGCACAGCAAGAATTATTACGGTGAGCCTTATCTCAGATCGTTTTTTAGATAATAGAAGGTGTGTAAAAGCAAGGGTGTCTAGATGGGAATGGTGCGGGCGATGGACGGATTGTATATCGCCTGTATAGTAGAGAATCGCGGCATACACCCCCTTGCTGTGGGGATGACTTTTATTTATCCTTCAGAGGGTGTCGCTTGGGAGTTAGGGGTGACTTCTCTTTTTCTTTGTTTTTATTTTTTGTCGGATATTCTTGGAGTCATGCAATCGTGGATCTTCTTATTTTTCATGGGATGTGTACAGATTTTTATGACATATATACAAGGTGTCACGTAAAGACCACGTCAAACGTAGGGAGAATGTAAATAAAAGGATAACCCACCTGCACATGACAAAATTCCCATTATAGAAGTCTTAGCGTTTTCAATATTTTTTTCTGAAAATATCCACTACCAAAGTTTTCAATAAAAATATTTCTCACAGCCCCCCTTTGAAATGTTCGGAGAATAAATTTGATGTATACTTTAAAATCATTCTTCAGCAATATTTACTGAAAAAATGAACCAAAATTGTGGAATTGTGGCCATTGTGGGAAATCACAGCCTGGGGAACCAAGAACCTAGTTGAATTCAACGCCACCAAAACTCAAGCCTGTATTTTCTCTAGAAAGGCGGAACTCAGTATGCCCGATATTGTAATGTCTGGCACCACCATCCCCACCAAGCCCACCATATCTATGCTCGGTATTTCCATCAGCAACACTCTTTCATGGGATAATCATGTCAGATCCATCGCAAAAGCTGCTTCACAAAAACTCGGATTCTTGTTCCGTGCGAAAAGCTACTTTACACCTCAACAGCTTCTCATGATCTACAAAGCGCAGATACGGCCTGTTCTAGAATACCGCTCCCACATATGGGGTTCAGCACCAAAACATACGCTGTTCCTCTTAGATTCCATCCAGAGAAGAGCCATCCGCCTGGTGGGTGACGCCACACTCACTCACTCTTTGACATCATTGGAACACCGTAGAAAGGTCGGCGACCTTTCACTTTTCTATCGATATTTCCACAGGAAATGTTTTTCGGAAATCTCTGCTATCATCCCTTCAACAATACCAGTCAGACGAACTAGACAAGCCCAGTCAGCACATCCTTTCGTCGTCAACCTCGAAAGATGTCGAACAGCACTTTATCAAAACTCCTTCATCCATAGAACGGCTAGGCTCTGGAATTCATTGCCTGAGGAAGTATTCCCAACAACATATAATCTCCAGAAGTTCAAAAAATACCTATAGGTATTGGAATATTGGTATACCTCCTATCCCTATCTTCCCTAGGAACGCACGATGTTCTTTGAACATTATAGGGATTCCTTTTCGTGCGCTCCAAGCGATAAAAAAACCGTACAGACAAAACTATTGAAAGGGGCAAAAATTAAATATTAAAAAAAAAATATCTGGAAAACGGTACGACTTTTATGATGGGAATTTTGTCATAGCAGGTAGGTTATCCTTTGATCTACAGTCTCCCTAGGTTTGACGAGGTCTTTACGGGACACCTTGTATATAGAAGATGTTGAAGTTTCCCAGAAAAAATGAGTTTACTTCATGAGGTATGTTCATGTGGTATGTATGTACATAACCTATTCGGACTACTTGTAGGAGTTGGGAATATTCAATTTTTTTTGCAGTTTTTGTGTGTAGAATATACAGGGTGTTAGATTGTTATTGGGAAAATGTATTCGACGTGAAATTAAAAAGATATGAAAAGTTACGCTCTTATTGGTGCTCCCAGTGAGTGACATCATCTATGGCTAAGGAATAATATCAACCGATCGACCTTACATTTTCTGGATTATTTTTAATATCCAATATAAAACTGTCAATTTTTGTAAACGAAACAGTCGAAAATAAAAATTTGGGATAGCTCATAGCATTTCGTATTTCCAAAGGTGTGAACAAATTAAATGGACAATGTTGCGGGCCGTATTTAAACAAAATAAGTTGTTGATGGTTTCTGAAAGACAAAACGTCGGATTTCAAAGAAAATGCCAACTTGTAGACAATAAAATGTAGCCATGATAAAGTATCATTCATTTGGAATAATTTCTTCGAATGAATCGAGGAACAAAGTTTTAGGAAATTTCGGGTTTTTTCCAGAAGTTTCCAAATTTCAAAACGACATTTTGTTGAACAAAAAATTGCGCAACTTTGCCATAATTTAACGGACACTGTATAGCGACGACTTCACGCACAGCAAGAATTATTACGGTGAGCCTTATCTCAGATCGTTTTTTAGATAATAGAAGGTGTGTAGAAGCAAGGGTGTCTAGATGGGAATGGTGAGGACGATGGTCGGATTGTATATCCGACTGTATAGTAGAGCATCGCGGCATACACCCCCTTGCTGTGGGGATGACTTTTATTTATCCTTCAGAGGGTGTCGCTTGGGAGTTAGGGGTGACTTGTGTTTTTCTTACTTTGCTGGATATTCTTGGAGTCATGCAATCGTGGATCTTCTTATTTTTCATGGGATGTGTACAGATTTTGATGACATATACAGGGTGTTCCTCAAAGACATGCTAATATTCAAGGGGGTGATATTCTTTAACTCATTTCAAGAAAAAAACTTTCCACTAACGTATGTCCTAAAAGTCTTAACTTTTGAGATACAGGGTGATGAAGTTTTGAAAAAAAAAACAGTTTATTAATAATAACTGGGATAATATTGTAGACATCTTTATGAAATTTGGTACATATCTCCTATGCATCAAGGTGCATTTTTTTATGTGTACAAATTTTCCTTTCCTCTACCAGTGGCGCCGTTAGGAGGATATGATTGATTATATTTAACTTGAAAGTGAGCAACAAAGGAATATTGCCTAATTCAATACAATATGTTATTAAAAGTCATTCAATTTTGTACAAAAAAGATCCTCTTATTGATACCCGATAGGACACTCCATTTCCGAGAAAAAACGAAAAAACGGGATCAAACTTCAAATTTTGATGTGAATGCTAAGCTTGAGTACTCCCATTCAGGACATCCATTACTGGATAACCACAGTGTGTAACATTTTGAAATTTATGCACCGTTTCAGTCACATTTCAGGATACATTTTGCCATCACGAAAAGCTATACAGGGTAGACAAAAAAGAATCTATGTTTATGTTCAACTTTCCCAGCGAGCACAAAAACATCTCAGAGATGTTGAAAGTACGAGATTTCGAGACATTGAACCTCCACTGCGATGTTCTGTTCACACATGAATAGAACTATTATAGAACAACCAATGTCCGCCGCAGGCGGCAATTATCGAGATGTCCTTGATATGTCACAAAACTACCTTCTCCCTAGTTCTTTTTAAAGCCTTTTCATGGACACAACAAAACATTTTCAACGCGTCTTGCGCACATTAAATCGCTGTGAAAAAACATTTTCGAGGTACCTACTTTCCTGAAGCCTTTTGTCAAAATGAACTTTTGCATTAGGATTCCATTTCCCTTGAATGAAAAAATGCATTAAAAATAGATTGAACATAAAAATATTTTCTTGATATGAAATTACCTTCTTAATCGGTTCCTGAGTAGTGCGTTCTACACACAGACATATAATTGGACATAGGTTTCCCAATTTTTGAAATGTTCTCCACAATGCATAATTTCGCAACTGCGGAGAAGCTGTGTATAGATAAATTCGTACTTTTCACCGAACAACACATATCTTGCATCTGATGGTCATTATTATAAACTAAATAAGTCTTCTAACACAAAAAACTTCACCAAATTCCTCTCTGTTCGTTAGCAGCGTGATGTAAGCGTGACACGTTGCTAACGCGAATGCCATTGCGAACAAGAAGAACAAAATCGAAAACAAATCAGAATTCATCGTATTGTGACGTAAGCATGAGACGTTGTGGTGGGGCAAACAAAGAAAGGGCACAAAAGAACAAAAACAATACTTTCAATATCCTTCTATGACCTCTCTGGGAAGTGCATATTACGCCTCAAAAAAACATCCTCATGCCTACATTTCTAAAACATCCCAAAACATCCCAGGGATACCTCTCAGTAGACAAAGAAAGAAATGCCACAGAAGAACAAAAACAATACTTCAATATCCTTCAAAGACCTCTTTGGTCAGTGCATATTACGTCTCAAAATAACATCTTCATGCCAACATTTTCAAAACATCCCAAAACATCCCAGGGATGTTTGTGCTCGCTGGGTTGATAACCTGTATCTCAAAAGTTAGGACTTTTACGACATACGTCCATATGAAGTTTTATTCTTGAAATGGGTCCAGGAATCGCCCCCTTGAATATTAGCTTATCATTAGGGAACACCCTGTATATAGAAGATGTTGGAGTTTTCCAGAAAAAAAATGAGTTTACTTCATGAGGTATATATTCACATACATGAAGTACATACCTATTCGGACTACTTGTTAGATTTGGGAATATTCATTTTTTTTGCTGTTTTTGTGTGTAGATTATACAGGGTGTTTCAGATTGTTATTGGAAAAATGTATTTGACGCGAAATTGAAAAGATATGAATAGTTACGCTCTTATTGGTGCTCCCATCAGTATGGGACATCATCTATGGCTAAGGAATAATATCAACCGATCGACCTCACATTTTCTCGATTATTTTTGATATGCAATACAAAACTCTCAATTTTTGTAAAAGACGAAAATAAAAATTTGTGATAGCTCATAGCATTTGGTGTAACCAAAGGTGTGAACAAATTAAATGGAAAATGTTGGCCGTATAAAAAAAAATTGTTGATACTTTCTGAAATACGAAACATCGGATTTCAAATTTTGCCTTCATTTTTGGAAATTCTTCGAGTCATACAATCGTGGATCTCTTTATTTTTCATGGGATAGTATGTGTACTCACAGATTTGGATTATATGTATACAGGGTGTTTCATTAATAAACGGAAATGAACGGACAAATGCGTATATTGTCACTTTTCGACCTCATTTCCACCTCAGGATTGTTTTTCGACGCCAACT